GAGAGAGGGTCCTTCCTCTAATGGAGGTCTCACTGGGTACCCTTCTGGAAGTACCACATCAGGAACTTGCACTGGCTGCTTTCCCCGCAATCTCCTCCGTGGGTTCTCCGGGTCTGTCTCCGCCCATTGCTTGATTGCCACATCTGCTTGGTGATCTGGTAGAAGAGCAACTCGAGCATGCACGACCTGATCTCCATCTCGAACCAACCACCCGGATGTCATCATTGGTGAGGGACACAGCAGCTGCATTGTCCTGAAGGGTGTAGCCAAGGGACTATCGCGATGCCATCGCTTTCGCTTGACCACCACGGAGGCTCCGATCGGCGGCATGGGGCGTTGAGGAATGCCCATCTTCTCCAGCTGAGAACGCAGACGTTTTTTCCACTTCGTATCTCGCCACCTGGGGCCACATAGTTTCTCCCCATCCCGTGGTCGAAAGTGACAGTCGCAACCGTCTCTTAAACTGGTTCACCTCCGCCTCGATCCTTCCATTGCCAGGCCCATCATCTCCTCCGGTCATTGTTTGCAAGACCCCCTGGCCGGCTATCCAGTTGCGCACCCGTCCACTGACCATTGCTTTTTCACGGTCACTGTGTATGCGAATCACTGGAACGCCCATAGCCTTGTACTTGCTCAGAAGCTTTGCCATGCCGCTCAGGATCTCGTCCACCGACCTTGACTGCAATGGTTCCCCAAGGGTGAGGTTCTGGACCATGTAGGGCTCTGACAACTCCTCCGCGATCTTCTTCCACTCGGCGTTGACCTTCTTGGCATCTTCCTCAGAGACCTTCTCGCTGGGTTCATCCTCTTCCACCTCCAGAACAGGACCCTCTTCAGCTTCATCTCTGTCGCCAACAAGATCTTCAAGCTCCCCCGAACCGTCACCCTCCCCCCATTCCTGAGCTTCCTCCACAGGCTTCTCTTCGGAGTCAGTGACCTTCTTGTCCATCTCGTAGGGGACAGGAACTGTAGCCAACATCATGTACTTCGCCGTCTGGTCCACCCCCCAAGTCCTTTCCGCTCTTGAACGGTCCCACCAGGTCCACCGCCATGACGAATGCTGAAAGTCCTCTGGGGCGCCTTCTATGTGGAGCATCACAACCCATGTTCTCAACGCAAACTCCACAGTCGCGCCGATAAGGAACATGTCCGCATTCCACATGTTGTCTCCATTTCTCAACGTTCATTTTCTTCAAGGAGCCACAACCAGATTCTTCACTTCCATCCGACGAGCCTCCTTCTCGAGGTTGTGCATCTCGTTCCTGCACCATGGTTGCCAAGTAGGGGTTGAGCGTGTGCTTCAACATCTCCACCAGCCCATCCGCCCATCTTGCCCATGTCTTCGATTCTTGGATCGACTCCTCTGGGGTTATTGGAAGCTTCTTCCCTCCAGGTCCTCCTCGAAGTTCATTCAGAGCTTCATGTAGTTCAGGAACGTTGTGCAAGAGTGTTGTTGGCTTCTTCTTGCAATGGCCAAGTCTTCCTTGATCCAGCGAAGTCCAAAACCACCCATAGTCCTGAGCCACTCCTTGAAGTTCAGGCCAATTCCAAAAACTCGGAAGTTCGTCAGCTTCACCTTCAGGCATGTAGGTCATAGGGTCTTCCGGACTCTCCATCAAAAACCCAGTCGGCCTCCCATCCTGTAGCCCAGCTTCTTCTCGAGCTTCTTCAGCCATCTTCCATAACGCATACTGCTTCAGCACCAAGATGCTGTCTTCGTCCGCTCGCAGTTGGTCCTGTGCAGAAAGGTCTGGCAATCCCCATCGAAGTTCACCTCGGCCTCGCAACGGACGGGAACCAGGGGCTCGATGACGCAACCTTGAAGTCGTCCTGCATGGAGGCCCACCAATCACTCCCAGGATTTTCCCTGACCTCGCCAAAGAAGGTCAAGTAGCTCCACAAGGCAGGTGAATGCAAGTTCCATCCAGGGCCCTTCTCCAGGTCAATCGCCAAAACCTCCACGTTCTTGGGGACCAACTCATGCCAGCGCCGATCGTCTCGTCCAGCATAAAGGTGCACCAAGACTCCCTTTGATCTCCACAAGCGCCGCCTCCATCTCCGGTTTAACGGAAGGCCACCTTCAATCTTTTGCCAAGACTGAGACTGCCCCTTCACGTAGTCGAAGACCTGGTTGGTGCTTGAGGAAATAGGTTCTCCCACCATCGTCGATCATCATCGCTAAGCTCATAGCTGACCTGCGGGTTCTTCTCCATGTAGTCCAACAAGTCCAAGGCTGCCTTGCGATCCATCACCGGACATCCGCTCCTCAATTCGCAGGGGATCTGGTTGCCCTTCGGGTGCTTGATCACGCATGACTTCCGGCTCCATGTGATGTCAACCTCGCTCAGCTAGGGCATGTAGAGGGATGATTGGTTCAACACTCTCCATCGATAGCAACGTTTGGTGAGAAGGATGACGATATAGTGTAGTCGACCCTGTCGCCAGCTCTACCACCACCGGGTATAAAGACCCAATCTCATCCTGTCGGGCCTGGCGCAACGCATGAGTCGCTCCACCGTCCAGTAGTGCAAACTTGCCACGGTCCATGTCCCCCAACTTGGATTCCCAGTCCAATGATCTGACACGAACGGTCTTCAAGTTGCCAAGCGACTTGAGAAGTCCTGAAGCCTCTGACAGCAAGCCACTCTCGTCCTTGGATGATGCTGCTGCCTCGGAAGTCTTCTGGGGTTCCTTCACAGTCTCGGTCTGGTTCTTTTGCACAGGAGGCTCCTTCTCCTTCTTCGCAGATGTAGCTGCCACCTTAGTCGAAGTCGAGGTTGTAGTGTCCCCTCCACTCTTCGGCTTGGTCTTGGCACTCTTCTTGGCATCGTCACCGCGAGAGTTAGCAGGGCAGCCCTTCTTCATGTGACCTTCCCCAGAGCATCCAAAGCATCGCCCAGCCTTGTCGATGCCATCCCACGAGTGACTGAAGTTGCATCGATCTCCTCGGTTACATCCTTGGCTAGTTCCCCAAAACCTGCACTTGGCCCTGTCCCTATCTCCAGAGCCAGACTTGCCAGAGTTTTGAGTCATCGCCTTCACCGCCGGAGTTGTCGATGTTGTAGGTCCTGAATCCTGAGTTGATGTCGTAGTCTTCGAAGCTGTTGAAGTAGTCCCCAAAGTTAGGCTGAGTTCTTCTGCTTCTGCTTGGAGGTACTCCGCAAACTCCTTCACGCTGGGAAGTTGTGGTCGTTGGTCAAGTCCAAGATCCTGTCTTGCCGAAGCAGTCCTGAACACCACCTGACTTCCACCCACCTTCCCAAGTGCATCCGCAAACTTCGCCATGACACCCACCAAGATGCTAAGAGCATGGACACTCCACGGGCATCGACCCTCTGGTACTTCAGCATCTCGGCGGAGCTCAGGGTTGGCTTCAACCGCAACCTTTGAAGAGGTGCTGCAACAAGCCATTGGTCATATGACTCCGTAGCCGCCTTCAGGGTTGTAGTCCACCATCCTGTCGCTAAGTCCTTCATGGTCGGTTCCACCACCGTCAACCAATCTCCAAAGGCGACCGAAGCTCCCTCTGCCCCTGGCTTTGGGAGTGCTGGCAGAGTCAACTGACGTAGCGACTCACCCCCCAGCTCCCCACCACCACGCGGCTCCAAAGGAATCCCCGGAGGAGGACTCACAGAGCCTCCACCGCCTCCGACACCAAGAAGAGGTAGTTGTTGACCTTGAAGTCCACCCGCTGATGTACTTTGAAGGCCACTGGCACTGGTCGCAGTGTGATAGCTCTGAACTTCACCTTCAGCACTTCCACCACCAGCACCAGCAAGTCGTTGAACTTCTCGCTGAAACGCATCTTCAGCTTCTTGTAGAAGACGCCTTCGAAGAGATTCCACCGCGTCGACCTCCCTAGGCCTTCGCTCAGCAGTCCCTCCTGGAGTCCCCTGTGTAGTCGAACCTGCAAGCCTCCTAGCTTCCGGGCTCCAAAACATATTGATTTGGGGTTGACCTCCATCACCCTGCCCTACAACAACACCTCCAAAAAGACCCTGCCCAAGAGCCAGCACAGAGGAAGTTGCCAATGGTCCCAACAACGACGGAGTCCCTTGCTGAGCCATGCTGCTCCCCCCACTAGCTGCACCAGGTTCTCTTCCAGGAGTTGATGCCGAAGCGGTAATCGATGGTCCAAAGGTTTGAGGTTGCCCTGCAGGATGTCGATCACCAATCTGTCCAGGTTGAACTCCTCCATGTTCTCAAGGTCCTTGAAGTTCTCTTCCATGAGCTCCACCTCGTAGATCACCTTGAGTCATTCCTTCCTGTTCAGCCACTGGCACCAACCTCCTCACAGCAGCATCCATCGTCGGTGGCACTGACCTTGCCCTCGAGCTCTGAGTCCTCTGCTCTTCCTCGATCATCCGGTCCAGCGCCATGTCCGCATTCTCTCCATCGCGAATCAGCCCTTCACGATGTCGACGAAGCATTCCACCATCCATTGCCTCTTGTAGTTCTTGAAGTCCACAAAGTCGTTCCCGTTGGTGATCACCGAAATCTTGTACGTGAACTTGGGCTCGTAACCTGTTCTTTGGTCAGGTCCGCTTTCAGTGTTCCCACCCAAGAGGCCAAGCAGCAACACCCTTTCCCAACCAGCAGCCAGCGTCGAGCGTCTGGCCACTTGTGAGTCCTTGAGCCAAAGGAAGATCGGACAGCAGCGTCACCTAACAGGAGCTAACCTGACAAGGTGAAAAGAAGGCTGGTCCTACCTCTCAGTACTGCTACTTTAGCATGTACATCTTTTTCAAAATCTAGCCGTAGCCAAACAGGTTACCATGTACAGCTTCTTCTCCAACAGTTTCAAAGGTGCAGAAGACCTATACTTATACCCCAATCAAGCTGAGTTAAGGCCCGCGGCAAAGAAGACAACAATGCTTGATACTTTGCTCTTGGCAATTGGGTGCTTGTTGCATGTTTGCTAACAATTCGCAAGGTATTCAAAAAAAATAAGACACAGCCCTGCAATCTTCTCCCTACCAAGTTCGCCAACTCTCCCTTGCCTTGGAAAGCGTTGCCAATCTGCTTGAATGTGTCCTGCAAAAGGCACTGAAAACGAGCAAAGGGGAGTAGACTGCTCTACCAAACTCGACTGCCTGATGTTCAAAACATCTCCAAGGCAAATGTTGGGCACAAGTAAAATCCAGAAAGTTGTCAGAAGCGCAGCTAAAGACCACATGAGGTAGCTACATTCAAAGCAAGGCACAAATACACCAGTATGTGGCTGTAGCTTTCCAAGGTAGTGTCAGCTGGCGAGCTGGTACCTGAGCTCTGCACCTTGCCAACATGGATGAATCTTTGAGGATGAAAAATGCTATGGAGAGGATGCCTTGGAAATCCTTCAACTCCAACCGTCGATTCCTTGCACATACCGCTGACCTAGACACAAAGTGGAAGCAATCGAAGGTAACAAGACATGCCGTGAAGCACCGTCTTGAGAAAGGATCGGCATAGGC